CACTCACCTCAGCCTCCCAAAGCGCGGGATTACAGGCTGAGCCACCGAGCCCAGCTAATTTTTTCTTTTTTTGAGAGAAGGTTTCATTATGTTGCCCAGGTTGGTCCTTAACTCATGGACTCAAGCAATCCTCCCATCTCAGCCTCCCCATAGCTGGGATTACAATTATGTGCTACCAAACACGGTTTACTTTTAAGTTAAAATAGGCAGACCTGAGGAATATGCAAATTAAAGAGAAAAAAAAGGAGGGCAAAAAGTGAAGTGAAAAGGGAAGACCTGTGAGAGAAGGCAGGATTATGGAGGGCAGGGAAAGGCTAACTGGAAAGCAAAATGGCCAGCTGGGTATATGAAAGAGGCACACTTCCTTAATGGAAAAGGCTGGGTCATAGGTTAGGAGAAGCTGAGAGAAGTTTTCCTCATTCCTATTCAAAAGAATAGTAATTATCTAAATCATTCTTTCATTCAACAAGGATTAGACCGATTGGGTGCGCTCACGCCTAGAATCCCAGCACTTTGGGTGGCAGAGGTAAGAGAATTGCTTGAACCCAGGAGTTTGAGACCAGCCTGGGTAACACAGTGAGATCTTTCTCTACAAAAACGTCAGCTGGGAGTGGTGGTACGAGCCTGTAGTCCCAGTTACTCATGAGGCTGAGGTGGAAGGATCACCTGAGCCCAGAAGGTTGAGGTTGCAGTGAGCTGTGATCATGCCTTGCACTCCACTGGGTGACAAAGTGAGATCTCAACCCTCCCCACCAAAACACAAATATTTAGAGAGTACCTAATATGCAGAAGTACCATAAAAGGCTTTGAGTAGGCAGCAGTGAACAAAATCACTAAAATTCCTACTCTCTTGGGAGAGACAGATGATGAGCAAGTAAATAAAAATATAAATAGGTCAGGTCACTACTTAGACACAAAATAAGACATGGCAAGGGGAAATAACTGTGGTAAATTTAAACACAGAAGACCTCTCTAATGACATAAAATTTGAGCAATGATGAGTGGAATAAGAAAGGGCTGGGGAGACTCTACCAAGGCAGAGAGGAGAGCTACGAGGCAAAGAGTAAAAGGCCACAAAACTGAAGGTAACACAGCATGTCTGAGAAACACTCCAAGGGTGGCACAGTCTAAGCAAAGGGAAAGGAATAGGAGATCAAAGAGAAACTTGGTGAGGAGACCTGATTAGGTAAAGCCTTGCAGTCCAGCATAAGGACTCTGAGTGAAGTGGGAATGCTGTGGAGGTTCTGAGAAGAGAAATGGCATGATCTAACGTGCTTTAAAGCACAACTGTGGCTACCATATAGAGAAGAGAGATTACAGGAGTGCAAGGGAGGAGGCATAGAGATCAATGTGGAGGATGTGACAGCCCTTAAACAAGGGTAGTAATCATAGACGTTGTGGGATGGAGACCAGCTAATACCTGAAAGGCCAGCCACGTAGTTTTCATCAGAATACCCACTTCTTTGGGCTTCTGCTTCCATCATCCAAAGCTTTTCTTCTGCTTCCAACTGGGATACCATATCTGGTTTGAAGAGAAGATGTCCTATGAAAGGGTAAATACATATATATTTATGAAGAACACACAACTAAAATACATTTTTGTCCAAATCCTACAATCCTGCAGACCTCTAAAGTGATATTTTAATAATTTTGTTCATGAACTATAATAAGAAATTTAGGTTGTGGCCTAGTTAATGTGTATACACATACAGAGATCAAATTAGGTTTAGCCCTTGTCTGTTTTCATCACATTTTCAACACCATATCTCATATCACTTACTGAAAATTATTAGTTTTTGTTGCAATATGAGTGTTTCTAGATAAAGAACTCTGATTTTTTTATCCTTATCTATTTTATTTCGTTAGAAAAAAAGGTCAATATAACGCACTAGGTTGATTTCATGACCCACCAAATGAGTAACAACCTTAACTTGAAAGACAAATATTTAAAAGAAAACATTTAGAAGCTATGCTGGCTAATTATAGTTTCTTTAAAACAGGGAGCTGTCTTGTGCACTGTAGGAGATTCAGCAATATCCTAGTCACTACCCACTAGATGACAATAGCATCCCTCCCTGAGTTGTGACAACCAACTATTTCCAGACATTGCCAAATGTCCTCAACCAGGGGTGTGGCAAAATCACCCTGGTTGAGAACCAGCAATTTAAAAGGACAGAATTTTGCCTGCACAAAACACCAGAAAAACCTATCTTGTTGTCCCAAGGATTAGAAAAACTTTTGTCTTCAAGAACAGGAAACCATTTCAAAAGGTTGAAACCATTTCAAAAGGTCCAAGGCTTGAACAGCCAAGAGTACAGAGACTCTCAAGGGAGTTGAGATTCAGTATAAGAGGGTGCCTTGTCCTCACCCACTGCGACCATGTTCTTGAAATTCTCCACCATTACATCTTGGTACAGCTTCCTCTGGGCAAGGTCCAGCAGCCTCAGCTCCTCCCTGGTGAAGACCACAGCCACATCCTTGAATGTCACTGCCTCCTACAACATCAAACACATGTAACCTCAATCTTACTACCAATCTCCACTAAAAGATGGGTAGCATCAAGAAGGATAAAGAGGACAACAAAAAAATGGTTACAAAAAACGGTTACAGATCCTAAGAGATCCCAATCCATTTTTAGTTGTCCTCTCATTGTCTCCTCCTCCCCTCCCCACCAAGTCTGGGCTTGATCACTGTTTTTGATGTTTGCAAAGTTTACAGACCTTTAGCAACCCTCCAGGACAGGTATAAGGTATATAGTTCTTCCTCTGTGCTTTCAAGGCACATGTCATATCCACCCAGTGCAGCATTCACAGCTGGTTGAGGCACAGCCTCTGGAGTCAGGCTGAGTTTAAATGTCAAGATCACACCCTTTACTGGTTACAAGACCTTGGGCAAATTCCTTAATCTCTCACTATCTCAACTTCCTCTTCTCTATGACAGTGTCTAAATCATGACATGTTTGAAAGGATTAAATGAGTGAATATACATAAAGCACTTAGAATGATGCCAGGCATATCACAAGTGCACAACAAATTTGAACAATTAATATCACCCTTCATTCTGTTTTGTGACTGCATATAATAATATTCTTTGGAACCGTTTATCTCTAGCCAATCCAAATAGTGTACAATTAATTATAGACTTTTTTTTTTAGTTGGGGTTTCATTCTGTTGCCCAGGCAGGACTGCAGCACAATCTTGGCTCCATGCAGCCTTGCTTGACCTTCTGGGCTCAAGTAATCCTTCTGCCTTAGCCTCCCAAGTAGCTAGAACTACAGGTGTAAACCATCATGCACAGCTAATTTTTTAATTTTTGGTAGAGATGAGGTCTCACTATGTTGCCAGGCAGATTTTGAACTCCTGGGATCAAGCAATCCTCCTGCCCCAGCTTCCCAAAGGGCTAAGATTACAGGCATAAGTCACCATGCCCAGCCGAGAGTTTTACTTATAATCAATACTGTGAAGACCTTTTACAAAGATTCTAGCCAAGAAGTGGCAACTGCAAAGTCACATAATATTCACTTAAAAAATTTTGAAAGCCCCGTAATCTCAGCACTTTGGGAGGTGGAGGTGAGAGGACTGCCTGAGCCCTGGGCAACTTGGTGAGACCTCACCTCCCCAATGAACCAAAAAATTAGGCCAGGCTCAGTGACTTAGCCTGTAATCCTAGCACTTTGGGAGTCCGTGGGTTCAAGACCAGCCTGGGCAACTTGGCGAAATCTCATCTCTACATTACATTAAAACATTATCCGGGCATGGTAGCATGTGCCTGTAGCTCCAGCTACTTGGAAGGCTGAGGTGGAAGGATCGCCGGAGCACAGCAGGTAGATGTTGGGGTGGCTATTAGTGTACCACTGCACTCCAGCCTGGGTGACAGAGTGAGACTCCAACTCAAAAAAAAAAAAAAAAATTAGCCAGGGCTGGTGGTGCATGCCTGTATGCCTATAGTTCTAGCTACTTGGAAGGCTGAGGAGGAAGGATCACTTGAGTCCAGGATGTCATGGCTGCGGTAGCTGTGAGTGTGTCATTGCATTCCGACCTGAGCAAGAGTGAGACTTTGACTCCAAAAAAAAAAAATAATAATTAAAACTTAAAAAACAAAATATTGAAAACACAATGGCAGCTGGGCTCGGTGGCTCAGCCTGTAATCCCGCGCCTTTGGGAGGCTGAGGTGAGTGAATTGCCTGAGCCCGTGGGTTCGAGACCCGCCTGGGCAGCGAGACCTCATCTCTACAATAAATAAAAAAATCAGCCGGGTGTGGTAGTGCGCGCCTGTAATTCCGGCTACTCGGAAGGCTGAGGCGGAAGGATCGCCAGAGCCCAGCAGGTCGAGGCTGTGGTGGCCGGGAGCAGCCACTGCACTCCAGTCTGGGCGACAGAGTGAGACTCCAACTCAAAAAAAAAAAAGAAAAGAAAAAAGAAAACATAATGGCAGATTTTTCTCTCAAAAAGTATTCTTCAATTCACTTTTCAGCAAGAGTATAGCATTCCTGAATCTCTAGACCTTGGTTAAATAGGACTTAGTTCTTTATTCTTAAAAAAAAAAAAGTTCAGTGACGATCTAAGTAAAAAAAATATACAAATAGAAAGCTCTTTTATTAACATTTTCACACATGTAAGTATTAATAAAGGTCTTTTTTTCATAAATTCATTTCCTTTTTAAATGACACTCCTATTCATTTATTTTGCTGGTATTCCAGTTAGGTTTTTCTTTATCATGCTCATCTTAACAAGAATTTAAACTATTAAACCTTAACCTAATGTTTAAGCATATCCTACTAGTTGGCTGCTGTTACCATCGTGCCTGAGAGCTTTTGCTGTGGGGAAATGTACAATACTTATATCAAAACTGTGCCTGAAAATCTAGGTTCATGGAACGATGGAGAAACAAAACTAATAGAAGAAAGGAAGGCACAAAGATGGAAAGTGGATGAGGAGCAACCTTGGAGTCCTCCCTCCAAAAGGTCATGTCAGGCACTTCCATGATATGCACTCAGGTCTCTGAATGGAAAACTCTTTTGCTCTGTCTGTCATTTCATAAAAATGGAATGCCAGATGTTACTAGACTAACAGTCAAATGCTTCAGAATTCAATACATTGGCAACCTGGGAAATTTTGTACAGTTATAAGATATTCCCCTACCTGTTTCTTCATGTTTCCAATGCAGAAAAATCACCTCCGTCCTCACACAGTGCTCTGAAGAATAATGCAAGGACAGATGGAAAGGGCTGGCAAGACACTTAAGTACTACTAGACCATAAACTATGTACATGTAGTAACTCTGATGAAAAAATTAAGAATTAAATAAAATAGATAAATGATGAAAGTATACACACATTAGGAAGAAAAAAATAAAGCTTTTCTTCTCTAAAAACATCTAATAATATTACACCAAGTCATTCTTTGGATGTTCTGTTTACAAACACCTGAGAGAACAGACATGAAACTTAAACATGAATCTCTTCAATTTAGAGTTTCTAAAGCTTTAATGACAAATAATGTAGAATTCCACCATGTCCTGCCCTCTTAGACATTCTTTTAAAAAAAGAGTGAGGAAAAAAAAAAATCTCCAAACTCCCAGAGCTCCTGGACTGCACTGTTAAAAATTTCCTTCATAGCTTCCTGCTATTTTGCCACTCTAGCTTCTTTTGAGGACAAAGGTTTTATGTCGGAAAAAAATGGCGCTGCAGTTGTTTTAAAGTAGTACAATTCTTTTTTTTTACTAGCAAATTTTTGGTTTTTTTTTTTAAAAAATTGATCTTTACATAAATTACAATGATCAAAATCCAGGAGGATTTATTTGTAGGAATTTAAAACCTAATTCTAGTAGTACAATTCTTAATTCGAAACTCTATGAAAGTCTGAACGAGGAATAGTTTTTGTTTTTCTTTTACAGTATTGGAATTCAGTAGCACATGATATATCCACTTAAAATACAGGTGATGTTATTAAGTGAAGAAAGCACAACTTAAAATTTCATCTATTCTAGTATTGGAAATATACAGTTATAAATGCATATTAAAAGGAATATGGGAAAATGAGAAAAGTCAGTTTATAAGCAGGGTAGTAGTACAGATTCTTTTCAGTTATTTAAAGTTTCTATTAATTTTTCAAAGATCTTTCGTAAAATAGTAAAGATGGTAAACCATAACAAACAAAACACCCACACATCTTGGCATATAACATGCACTGAAGATCTGTTGTTTTCTATTAATTTTCCCAAGGAAGAGAAAAAATATGTACCTTTTCCTCAAATCTTTAAGGAAAAAAATCATACCTTAAGAGACCAAGAAGAATACCTTACCTGAAACTTGGTCATTTTCTTCTGCTCCTTCTGGGGAAGGTCAGAGTTCTGAGAAGACATAACTGAGAAAGACCAAAGAAGCCATGAGAGCTCCATTAGCCCACATGAATCCTTGTGGGAATTATTCAAGAGTAGTCCCACATTCAGGCAGATGCAGCCACACACACAGCTTGGTAAGCAGAACATGGACTAGATTCTAGCTAACAGGCCTGTCAGCTCAATGTTGTTGGGTAGTAAACAACCTGCACAAATATAGATCCCTACTATAAGGATTTCTGATCATGGAGACGGTAAGAAATAAGAGGCAGAGTAACAATATGTGCACTTAAAAAAAAAAGTGGGCTCTAGAGTCAAGTGCCTGGGCTTAACTCCTAGAAATGATACTTACCATCTATGTAACACTGGGGATGTTAAAAGAAAAAACCCTTCAGTGTCTCATTTCTGTCATCTGTACAATGAAGGTAGGATAAGAATCACAAATGGTACTTACCTCATAGAGTTGTCCCAAGGATTAAATGAGCAGATGGGAAGCTCTGAGAACCAGGAGTCCCTTTGTCTTGTAACTACAAAAAAGCAGATATCATAAACTGGGCTTGTATCATAAACTGAGCTTGCAAATATTGTTCTCCTATGAAAATCACCTTTAATTTCCAAAAAGCCTAATTCTGACTTAAAATGTCTTCTTACTTAGTAATTTGTTGCCCAGCTTTTAATATTTTATTAACACTGGTATTAGTTTTCCAAAAAAGTATCATTTTGGGTGTTTACTTCATGAAACCAGAAAAAGGTCATTGGCAAATCCCTTTTATCTTATGTGCATGGAGATAAAGAAAAACATATAACAAACAAAAGACAAAGACACAAACAAAAAATCAAGAAGCGTGAAAGATAGACTGAGAGGTTTCAACATTTGTTTAATAGGAATGTGAGAATAAAAGAAGGGAGGAAATAGCAGAGAGGTTTTAATTTCAGGAGATAATTGCTGAGAATTTCCTACAATTGATAAAAGACATGAATTCACATATAGAAATTCTTAGCAGTGTAAAATTTAACAAGTATACTACAAAATAAACTAATCATTGTAACACTCAGGAATGCAAAAGACCACACATACAAAGAACTGAAAACAACAACAATCTTAAAGTTTTCAGAAGGAAAACATAGATTAACTAAAAGAAACGAGAATGAGATTGACAGAAATAGGATAACAGAATGGAAATTTGAAACAACTGAAAATTATCTCCAAAATAAAGAAAGAAAATAACTGTGTACCCTGAATTCTATCTTCAATTATTATTTAAATGAGGAAGAAACAATATTTTAGCTGAAAAATGAAGAAAATGTATAACTATGTGAGCCCTGAAAGATGGACTGCAAGAAGCAGTGGTAAGAAAATTGTAAATATGTTGATAATATAATATAATAATAATATAATAATTTTTTTTAAAAAAGGCCAAGAACTATAGTGATAACTTTTGAGAGTGGTTATATTAAAAAGTAGACCTATAACCTAGCCTACATTTTTTTTTAATGGTACATCATCTGATTTTAATTTTTTTTTTCTGTATTTTTCAGAATGAGAACACATGCTGACTAAATTTACTATTTGTTGAGAAAGACAGTAATTTTTAAAAGTGAAAACAATGGCACAAGACCATACACATTTCAAACCAGCCAAGCACAAATGAAAGGGAATAAGCTGAACTGAAGAAAAGAAAGGAGAACAAAGAAGCAATGCAAAGCATGTAAATTTTTTAATACATATACACATATATATTACAGAAATATATACATAGATGTAAACAAGCAGATGACCCCAGACTACATTTTTGAAAAAACAACTATATTCTAAGTGACACTACTAAAACATAAATGTCAAAAAAAGCTTGAAAGAAATGAAAAAAATATGATGTACAGAAAAATGCCAAAAGAAAGCTTCAGTCATGCCAGAATTTAAGAAAAACTAACCTGATGTCTGGGATAGGCTTTAAAACAGTCAAATCAAAAAAAAAAAAGGGGGTGGGGGGGGGGACAATTTACAACAAATGTTGAAACTAAGTGTTGGTTACCAGGGCACTATACTACTCTCTTTAGTTTATATATACTTGAAACTTTCTGTGATATAGTAAGAAAAAAAAAACCCTACGTAGACTACCAAACGAGTTTGGAAAAATATCCATAGCAAATACGAAAGAGAAACATTAAAGTATTTACAGTTTTATTAAAAGTAATTTTTACTTTTAAAATTCATTTTAATATTTTCCTCCTTTCTTTTTTTCTTAGAGATACAGTCTTGCTCTACCTCCCATCCTGGAGTACAGTGGCACAATCATTACTCACTGCAGCTTCAAACTCCTAGGCTCCGCACCTGAGCCTCCAGAGTAGCTGGGACTACAGGCACATGGCATTGTACCTGGCTGATTTTTAAATTTTTTTTGTAGAAACAAAGTCTTGCTATGTTGCCGAGGCTAGTCAAGAGATCCTCATCACTATCCAGTTGAAATATACTGAGTCACATAAGTAACTTTAAATTTTCTAGCAGTGATACTTTAAAAAGGCAAAAAAACGGAAACAAAACAGGTGAAGTTCATTTTAATGACTTACTTTATTTAAACTAAGTCATCCAAAATATTACCATTTCGATATGTAATCAGCATAAAAAGTTATTGACGAGCCATTGTACATTTTTTGTACAAAGTCCTTGAAATTCAGTGTGTATTTCACACTCATAACACATCTCAACTTGCACCAGCCATATTTCAAGTGTTCATAAGGTGCATGTGGTTCATAGCTACAGGAATGGATAGTGCACCTCTACAATGAGCATTTACTAGTTCTATAACCAGAATCTGACACAGTTCATTCGACATGGACTGAAATTAAATAAATGAGATGTTTTAAGATTTTTTAAATCCTAAATTAATCAGTGTAGCTTTCGAGTTTTTTTCCACAGTGAAGTCCACACCTGCTTTCCCAGGGCCAATCTCAAATGACACCCCTTTAGCCATATGGATTACCATTTAGGATAACTGAAGGTGACTAGATCATTGGCAAGATCACGGGCTCTGAAAAAGGACGGCTTGGGTTCGATTCCAAATCCATCTCTTAATATTAACTCGAATGATTTTGGGGAAAATAACATAAGCTCTCGCTGATTCATTTTCCTCATTCTTAAAACAGGAACAATAGCAAGACCGACTGCATCAACATAGCTAGGTCATAACGAATGAACTGAAAATCAAAGTGGTAAGATGTTACGTAGTACTCATTTCCAAGCTCTCTCTCCTACTCCTTCTCATATTTATCCAACAATTATTCCATCACTTTCCAGTTAGTAATTTCCTGAGTGAAGAAAACTTTTTGACTGACTGAAAAGAGAGAGACACGTCGGAACAAGAACGTCGGTCCAGCACTATGCACCTGGGGCTACACTGTGAGAACCAGAAGCTCTTCTTTCGGAATCCAGGGCCAGGGAAGAAAAGGATGCGGTGAGTTAGCGGTAAACACCCCCAGGAACTGGCTCGGGATGACCCATTCCTGCCTTAAAAAAAAAAGAAAAAGGAAAAGAAAAAAAAATCAGGAGAGGTCCGGGAGAAGCTCGGTCTCCCGAAGGACGCGACAGAAGCACCTGGCCTTATTTCTCTCTTTGCCGGAGCTCCCAGTAAACAGGACGCTTGTGGGAGAATACCTGCCTCAGTCGCAAAAGCCAACCCGTTGTCGCGTGCCACCACCGTCCCGAGCTTTTGACATATACTGTGTCATTTAGTTCTAACTGCAACCCTACCCGGTAACGACTGTCTTCGTTGCTATTTTGCAGAAGAGGAACTAGGGCGCAGACAGACTATAGAACTCCTGTGTGTTTATACCGACACAAGTAGCAGCGCTGCTGAGAGAGGGGGAGAAGGGCTGAGGGGATCCAAACTTCCGCCCTCTGTCTCCTGCCTCCGCCGGCGGCCGCGACTTCATCCTAAGACTGACGGTTGACGGTGACTGTTTCCACGCTCAGGCTGAAAAGGCTCGGAGGGGTCATGGGGGTGCAGGGTGGACTCACCTCCCGGACCGAAAAGATGGTGGCGGCCTCGCCTTCTCGGGGCGGAAGTGGCTCTGATTACCCGGAGCTCCGGAACTACACTTCCCAGAAGCCCCGGAACTACACTTCCCAGAAGCCTGAGGAGAATAGGCGCCGTAGCCCCGCGATCCTATAGTGCAACTGTTCCGGGACAGAGTTCTGGAATACGTTTCCCAGAACTCCCATAGGAAGAGGAACCATCTGTGGCCCGCCCCTTAAGAGATTTAAAAGAGAGACAGCGCGTCCGCAAAATCCAACCAACCAACCAACCAAACCTCCAAACTCTCGGAGATACGGGACTACGATATCAAGAATCCCCTTCATAGCTTCCAGCCATTTTGCCGGCCTGAGCAGTTGTGACGCCCGCTGAGTTTAGCTTCTTCTCATTGCCAAACAAAAAATGATAGCGAATATGTGAAGTCAGAGCCCTAAAAGAAAATAGCGATTGGAGGAAATAGATCATGTCATCCTTTACTAAAAGAATTACACCCACCATGTCCAAAAAAGAAAGGAAAACGACTTGAATTTTCAATTATTATATTTAGTAGGATCAATAGGAAAAATGCATTTTAGATACAAAAAGAATTAAAGACCCCCCCCAATGCCACGGAACCAGAGTATAGTGTTAGATTTCCACCTTTGTGAGTGGCATAGTCATAATTCAGGACAATTTACTTGCTTGAGAACATCTAGACACGGAGTGAAAACGCAGGCTTTGGCATATGACCAACTTCTCAAAGCAATAGGGACCATTTTAATCATTCCTCGGAGTTTCTGATTTTGAAAGATGAAGAAATTTATTAATTCAATGTTTAAGCTATGGTCCTTATAAAGACAATCATTTGCTCAAATGTATGATAGAATTGATGTTTCAGAGAAATGAGGGCTGGGAGAAGAGAGCAAAACTTAAACATATCAGCCGGGCTCGGGGGCTCAGCCTGTAATCCCGCGCTTTGGGAGGCCGAGGTGAGTGAATTGCCTGAGCCCGAGGGTTTGAGAGCTGCCTGGACAACTTGGCGAGACCTCATCTCTACAATAAATCAAAAATTAGCCGGGCGTGGTAGGCGCGCCTGTAGTTCCAGCTACTTGGAAGGCTGAGGCGGAAGGATCGCCGGAGCCTAGCAGGTCTAGGCTGTGGTGGCCGGTGTCTGGGTGACAGAGTGAGACTCCAACTCAAGAACAAAAACCAAAACTTAAAAATATCCACATAGCTGCTAAAATACATATCAGTAATTCTCATTTACTGGATATATATTCTTTATTCTGTTATACACAAGTTGTTTTGGACCACCTCGTAAGTGCCAGAAACTATTCCAAACTGTTACTACATTTTCATTTAAAATGTTTAAAGGTAAACACTAGAATTTCCTGTGTTTTGCTGTTGAGGAACCAGAGACAAAGAACAGTTAATAATTTGCCCCATGTTACTCAGTTTTAATATACTACAGCCAGGGTTCAAAATTTGGCATTTGACAGTCAGAGTTTGAGTGCCAACCACTAGCTTGACCTCCTCTTAAACAACCAACAAGAACATAATATTTAACTTCAATCATTTTTCCTTCCTGATGCCAGAGATAGATCCTAAGACAGAGATTCCATTATTTTCACCTGCATGTCTATCCAGTGCCCTTAAGAGAAGGTCCAAATGCATTAGCAAGTCACACAAACAAGAATTGTCCAAACACTGTTTCCTTCTTCAAATCCATTTTCCACTCTACATGTCCAGCCGTAGTGAATCACTTGTACTACAGCACAAAGTCTCTAATTATTTGTATCTGTGGTCCCTTCTGTCATAACCTGCTACATTATTCACTTTTAGGTCATAGTCTTTATACATAGTTTAAATATTCCATGCTCCAACCACACTTCTGTGGATTTTGTCTTGTAGACTAATAAAAGTAGTGTGCAGTAGCCAAGATTGCAAATTTGGGAACAAGCTGCCTAGATTAAAATACTAGTTCTGCAATGAATTGTCCCTTTTTTCTTGATTTGTAACATGCAGAAAACACTAAGTCCAAAATTCCAAATAAATAAACCAACTTCATAACTATTTATCTCCAAATCTTAGTGCCCATGTCTCTTGGATTTATTTCACAACCACTGTCTTCCTAGTTACCAGGAATGAAAGCCCTGAAGTTACCTGCTTCACTTTGCTCTTCATATATAATTACTTTTATATTAATTACTTTAAAATTCTACAGACTCCCTGACTAGGATTTGGTTTTGGTTTAAAATACTCAAGCTCCTCCTCTCCCTACCTCTCACAAAAAAGTATCTTATGTGAGAGAAGAGAATTAGATGCAATATGAAAGGCAAAATGTTGACAAAGATTGAAGACAATTCATGGTTGGGGAGCAGGCTTTACTACACAATTTTATGTTTGTGTATGTTTGGGCATTAACAATAAAAAAAATTTGAGTAGTGTGGCACCAATGCCCAAATGCATTAAAATGTTGACAGTGGCTATCTTAATCCTGAGATTATGGGCAATTGTAATTCTTTCAACATTTCTATATGTTCTAATCTCTCTGTAATGGGCATATATTACTTCTGGAATGACAATATAAACAGCAAAGCCCAAATCACCTTCCAAATCTGTTAGAAAAATACTTCTACACGCCATATACACAACTATTTCCTATGGTTTTAAATAACATACAGTATACAGATTATTAGTACAGGCTTGAGAGTCCAAATCTTTGGGTTCAAATGGCAGTTCTACCTCTTATTAACTGGATGATACGGGCAAACAACATAAACTAAGAGTAAATAGGGAGGACATTTTTTTTCCTTGCCCAAGCATTTCCCTCTCCTTTTTCTTAGCACGTTCCCATAAGAAACCTAGAACTTCTGAATTATTTCTCTAATCTTTTAACATGCATGTAAACTTTGTTAGAGGTCAAGTAAGTCTCTAGCCACGTTTACAACCCAGACATGTTTTTCAGAGGTCTGGGATGTGCTTCTTTTGACTGTAAACACCCGAGAAAATAATTCAGTTTCCCCATCACTGTAGAAGTTTAAACAAGATGATGTTCTCTGGGTGTAAACTGACTACTAAAAGAGCAGAGATATGCTCTATTATTCCTTTAGGTGAAGTCAGTTAATTCTAGCAAATCTTTGCTCAATTAACTAAAGACTTGATTCTCAAGTAGATTTAGAATGACTTTATGAACTAATTTGCAGCAAATGATTCGGGCAAGGTTTTTTTTTTTTTTTTTTAATAGAAAGACATCATTAACCTTGAATAACTGATGCACATAGTGGTTAAAAATAGAATGATAAAAAGTTTAAAACTGCTTGACTGTATACATAGGGTGAAATTTTTTGTAATCTCTTTCCGTAGTTACCTATAATACTACACTCTGGATATTCTTCTTCAGTAATAAGCTTTCTTTCTTTTCTACATTGTGTAGAGAAAGGACTACTACCTTCGTTTCCTCATCTGGAGAGAGAGAGGAGAGAGAGGGAGAGGAAAGGAAAGAGAATAATGGTGTCTACCTCTTAAGACTGTTTAGGTCTTAATTCGTGTTAAATTATAAGGGACTGTTGCTAATGACACGATTTCAGAGATGAAAATGAAACAGATGACATAAAACGCAAAACGTTCTAATTAGCACTAGGAAGTGACAGAACTGGCACATAGGTGGGAGAAGCCGGCTAGGGAGCGCCAGGAGACCTCAAACCAGGCGACACACGACCCGGTCCAACCCTAACCCTAGGACGCAGGAACTGCCCCAAAGGGAGGCTCCCCGGAGGGGAACACAAACTGCTCCCGACTCTATCCTCCGCAGCTGTCCGCAGCTTCCAGGGCCCTCCTCGAGACGAGGGCCAGGACCCCACTAGCTCCCGGCCCAGGAAAAAGCTTGAAAGGTCTCCGTGCATCCAGACACTAATCTCCGTGGGCACTCCTGGAACGAAAGCCAGAAGCCCTGGACCAATTCCCAGAATTCCCTAGCCCTGCCATCCAGAAGCGGAAGTGCCTCCGGCTGCACCGAACCCAAACTACACTTCCCAGAATGCCGCGGGGGAGAAACAACCATAGCGTCGCCCCCGGTTACCCAGAATGCCAGAGGGCCTCTTAGACAAGTTTTGCCATTTTAGGGTGGAAGTGATGGCCTGCGTGGCACCTAGTGATTCTGTTTTTGAAAGCTTTAGCCTTCAAAGGGGCTCGAGGACGAGGTCGGGGTCTAGAGGAGAAAGGTGCCTGGTAAGACCCCAAAGGATGCGTTGTAAGAGTAAAGGTAAAAGGCAAGTGGATCGTCTAGAGTGGGGACTGAAGCCAAACTTCAAATCACCTCAGTACCCAAAAATAAGTTAAAGTAAGCCTATTTTGTTACTATCTTCAGACACCTGACAGAAACAAAAAAAAATTCTCTATAGAGAAAGAAATTGTCATCGTAGGCGTCATGTTATTGCTATAATTTCAAAATATGTTAATATTGGATAAAGGACAGTAGTTCTTGAAGAAAAAAGCATCATAAGGTATACAAAGAAACTCTTTGAAATAATGAGATAATAATGAAAGTTTCAAGTTGTCAAGAATAACAGCCTCACATGTTATAAAGCAAACTTTATAAAACAAAATTGATGGAAGGCTAAGGCGGAAGGATTGCTTGAGCCCAGCAGACCAAGGCTGCGGTTGCCATGAGCAGCATGCCACTGCACTCCAGCCTGGGTGACAGAGTGAGACTTCGACCCCCCCCCCCGCCAAAAAAAAAAAAATTGAGGCTGGGCACGGTGGCTCATGCTTGTAATAGCACACACTTGCAAAGCTGGGTGCATGAAGTCAAGACAGGAAGATTGCTTGAGCCCAGGAGTTTGAGACCAACCTAGGCAACATGGCAAGACCTTGTCTCCACAAAAATAAATAAAGTAATTGGGCGTGGTGGTGTCACCCTTTAGTCTCAGCTACTCAAGAGGTTGAGGCAGAAGAATTGTGAGCCCGGGAGTTTGACGCTGTGGTGAGCTGTAGTTGTGCCACTGCACTCCAGCCTACTTGGCTGAGACCCATGACTCAAAAATAAAGATAGA